TTTATCATTTTTGCAGAATATTGAGGCTTCCGAGGGAGGGCGAGCCTTATCAAACGCTTCCAAGTAGCAGAATTAAATGCTTGCATGGTAAGTGCATATTTGATGAAACGGTATCATACAGATAGGAAGCTATGGAGTTGCAAAGCATCCTGTAGGTATTTAACAGCACCGTCATAGTTTAAGAATCCCATGAACCAAAATTCATGACCATCAATAGATATAACTTGGATGTACTTTTCCGAAGGATTGATTCTGCTTGTTGAAGGATTCGCGGCTTTCAATTGATGTAATGGCATAATTACCTGTTCAAGCGGACAAGAAAACTTTACTTCGGATGCCAAAAACCCGAACCGGATTTTTTTTATGCGATAAGATGTAATGGAAACATACTTTATAGTAGCTCCATTCAGTTTGGCTCCCATTTGTATACGAAAGAGGACTGTCACTGCAATATGCAAGCTTTGCCGTAGAAACATATAGAACTCCCATGACAGGGCCGGCCGATGTTGATAAGTAACATGCGAATGAATCTAGAAGTTTCTCTTCAGGAACTGTTTCAAAAGTTTGTATAAAGATCTTCTCATATCCACCTTCTGCTAAAACCTTTGTTCCCTGAGTAATTCTTCCCATGGCAGCCTCAGCAAAACTAGGACTTGTTCTTACTGATTTAAGAAAAGAGGGCAATGGTATTTCAGTAATGTTTAGTATGTGAAAAAAACTCAAGAAGCAAGAGAGAGGAGGTTGGATCACAGCCAGGCTCATGTAAAAAAGACAAAAGAAGAAGAAATGCCATAATGTTCTAATTAATATTCAAGAACATAGTATTGTATGTGAAACAATGGTGCATTTGAGCCAAAACCAAATTTGAATTATAAACTCCAATTCAATATCTGAGATTTCAAATTTCAATCATCAAAACAAACGGGGAAAAACCGTAGTTTTACGTTCATCACAAACTAAAACATACCAAATTAGTAAGCAGTGAGCACCAAATACCATCAGCAATCTTAGAAGCCTAGCAATTTATTTTTTTTAATATAAAAAACGAAGAATAAAATACATACAATGCTGCCACGTGTTCCCGGCCAGATCCTCGGCTTTTTTCGTCGCTTCTCCTACTTTTCTGGTCCATCTCCCTAAGAGATCCTTCACTGTATCCATTGTCTCTGTTTCCATTTTCAAATTCAAAAAGTAAATAAGTAAAAAAAATTCAAAACTCAAACAGAAGACAATACTATAAATAAATGTGAAATTGCTCGCCTTTGAAGGAAGCCGAAGAAGATTGCTGGGCAGGAGCACTAGTAACGTAAGGGTTGGATCCATTAAGAGTGGACATGGTGGCGCAGGCGATCGATCAACTAATTCGGGGCTCCAATGAACCGATTTTTATCGTTCCGGACGGTGTCTTGTTCTGTGATTGCTCGCTTTGAGTCTGAGTCTCGTTTGGATTGCGTCTGTTTTTCTACATTTTTCTCGGGCTCTGTAGTTGGAACCATAATTAAGCCCTGCGCATCCATTGCGGGATCCGAGGCTTTCGGGTCCATTTCAGCTTCGGTCCTTGTGCCGGAGATTGCGTTCAGTTGGACTTGGGCTCGTTTTCCGTTCTTCCGTTGCTCCCCTTTTCTGGAACGTTCGCGGGAAAATATGGCTGCGCGTTAGTGGCGCGAGAAGCTGTTATATATGAACCCATTAACTACATCAAATCAATAGGGTAATTTGTTGTATCATTCCCCTAATTTGCTTTTGAAAAATTACTATATACATTCATACTTTTATATCTGTCCAAATTTAAATCTTTTACGCTATGCATAATTGACCATAAATCTTTAGGGAAAAGCATGAGATAATACTTGCATCATTCAAAATTTCAAGTCTTTTACGTACTGGTGTAACATCGGTTCATCACGGAGATGCAACGAAATGATGTAATAAACAAATTAGCATGAGTATAACATCATATTATTTAAAACAAACTAGTTAGCTAGGTTTCTGCATTTAAGCCGATCTGTTCACTATCTGTTGCTGGTGTCTTCTGAATCCTCTCAATGAACCCAAGCATCACATCAGTACTTCTCTCATCTAGGAATAATAGGGAAAATAGAAAAACAAAAAATTAGAGCAAAGAACATGAAAGAAATTAACAAAAAAAAAAGGTTTTTCTAGCACCGAGTCTGGGAACTGTATGGCCCTTGGGATGATTTATCACAAAAAGATCCACAAAAGATTCCAGCATAACAGTCGATTCCGGTTTCATGAAGTCCATTTCACCTACAGATTAAAAGTTAAACCCAGTTTTTTAAATTGCCTGAAGATTGCTTCTTCCTATATATATATATATATATATTTTGGACAATTTGTATCTTAATATATCCAAAGAAAGTAGCAAGCTGCTACAAGCAACAGGAGTATCACAAGAAACCCAATACTCGGTCAAGAAGACCCCATCCCCTACAAAGATAAGAATTTTTTGACCTACCCTGTTAATTTCTTTACGGTATAACATTTTCTTTCACCAAAATGAATAAATCGTCTACACTTTTTAGTCAATCTCCTGAAAACTCTATGATTTCACCGTATAGTCCAAAATATTTGCAGTGTTTTCAGCTTTTAAATTACCTGTGATGTGAAGAGAAGGGCATTCAATAGGTGCTGAAAATGCGTTACAAGTGAGCTTATGATGTCCAAATTTTGACCATCCAAATTTGGCTCCTGATATTAGTATCAGAAACTTGATTTTTGGAAGTCTGGTAAGGGTAAATCCATCTCTCTGCATTCCAGGCAATGCAGCTGATGGAGTTGCTCCCTGAGATTCATCACCCCCCGGGGCCCACAACAACAAAATACAATTTAGATCCATTTTCAGCACAATAGTTGGATTTTTAAGATTTTTTTCCTAGGATAATTCAAGCAAAATAACCCCACCTGAGAGAAGCCAAGAAAACCATCAACTGGACCATTCTTTAACATAAAATCTTCAATGTACGCCAGACATTCTTCAAAACTTGTATACTCGGTGAAATTCTACTTCCATGAGAAAAAGAGAACAAAGATTCAATTGCAAGCTTTGGTGGTGAAAAAGTAAATAAAAATGAAGTTGAACTGTGAATTTTTGTAAGTCTTTTCTTTACCTGGTTAGCTTGGAACCGTTCAAAGTAAGGAGGATCAAAAAAAGCTTCAACATCAGATTTGCCTTGGGCAGGAAATGGAGCATCAAGGAAAACAAGATCCAGCTTATCAAGCACAGTTAAAGGTCATCGAAGGACCTGTCTCCTGAGAATTTCAGCGCTTGTTCTGAATCCATGGAGGCACAAAACTCTGGGTTTTCTCTGGATTTGGCTTCCCATTTTCCCCAAAATCACTGCTGAAAAAACTTTACTAACAGAGTTCACTCTGATTGATTGGTGCAATAAATAATGTATGGTCCGACATTATTAATTTGCTGGGAAGATATGGAATTGTGTCACGAGGGCTTTAAGCTTGCCAAATTTGTTGCTCCCGGTAAACCATCTGTATTTTAGGGTATTTTTATATGTGTATTCACATGAATTTTAATATATTAATAATTCATATTTTATATATTTGTATCAAATATTTTTTTTCATTCAAATACTTTACCGTATACTCCTAAATCAAAATAAAGTAGTTGAGATCGATGCGTGTGGTAGGTGGCTTTGGAATTTGAATGATGATAAAACTATTTCTAAACTTAACTCATGGCCCATAACAGTTGTCACGGGCCATTTGTTTCATATTTGTGTGTAACTATTAGCGACTTTAAATAAAATAACTAAAAATATAGATAAAATATAATAAAATTTAAAATAAACATAAATTAATTTAAAATATTAAATAAATAAGAATAAAATATTTTTAACGTACTCTCATTTGAATAATTATAATCAAGATACTCACATATACATCGTTTTTACCATTTAATTTTGTTAGCACATTACATTACACATAAACGTACATATTTCTTTGAAGTATAATAAATTTCTTTTATTGTTGGTTCTTTATTAAATTTGTTGACTGTTATGACAAAAATAATTAAATTTTAATAAAAGGAAACTTTAACGAAGATGATTTTATGAGGAATTATAAATTTTATCATAACTTTTATTTATTTATTTTTTATAATATTTTCTAAATTTGACACTTGTACTGAGACCGAGAAATAGACTTCATCAAGTGAGGATTAGACTTTATCAAATCGTAGAAAGTTTGAAACTTTTTAGGGTGCACTAAAATATATAAAAGAAAACAGTACTTATCATTTTGTAATAAAATTACTTAAACAGCATTTAAAAAAAAAAAGCATTCTTATACGAAACATCCACTGGTAGTGCCACATGTCCATAAAATATTTGTTTTGGATCTAGACCGGTATATGTGTACACAATAAATATTCATAAGGAGGGTAGTAAAGTAATGTCACCGATCAGTTTAGGGCTGTCGTTGAAAAGTTTAACGCGGTTAAACAGTCTGTTAAGGAAAGAAAGCTACCAAAATTGGCTTTTTCTTTTTCCAAATATTTGTCAAATATTCTTAAGAAAATGATATATTACCCACTAAGCAACCGACACACATCTGCTAACATTAGCGTTTCATTACGTGATTTATTTAATTACCTTAATCGGTCCACTAAATACACATTAACAATTTTCAATCCAAAAATTTACAACTCAAATGCGTTAACAAAGACAAAGCCGCGTCAAAATCATAGTCCTCATGGTTCGGTAAATATTTAACGTTGAAGAAACTTGAAAGAAAAACAGAGGAAATTAGTGAGAAACCAGCTAGCACCATGATGTGCTTGCATGTAAACCCTATATAATTATAATTTGCATTTGGCATTATATGATTAAAGAAAACAAGAATATTCCTCTCTCTCTATCATCTTCAATTTTCTCCTTCGCTGTATATATATTATATATACTTCCTTCTGCCCGTTTGAGTTCGCTCATTCCCCAAATACTTGTCTATTCTCAGAACAATCTCTCTTCTTTCCAAAGCTTTTTGGCAATATGAGTTCCGCAATGTTTAAGGTTGTGATGATGTTGGGTCTTTTGGCCACCGCTTGCGTGGCTCAAGCTCCGACAGCTCCACCAACAGCTCCTCCGACATCCTCTCCACCGCCGGCTGCTACTCCAACACCTGCACCCACACCGTCCAGGACGCCGTCCCCAGCTCCTTCGACTTCCCCAACCCCATCTCCCACCACTTCTCCTTCCCCTGCTCCAGCCGCTTCTGCACCTTCTCCTTCGATCTCCACCCCTCCTGCTTCCACTCCACAAGGTTCAACTGCACCAGCTTCCGAGCCTTCGGCTGACCAAGGCCCTCCTCCTCCCTCCGCCGCCTCCACCAACGGTGTCTTCATCGGTGTAACCGTGGCTGCTGCTTTCTTCGCCACCCTTCTGGCTTAAGAAAGTGAGTTCATGATTCTTTCTGGCTGTTCACGGGCTTCTGGATCATGCTTCTCGAGGATCTTGTTTTCTTGCCCTCTTTGTTCATTTGATTTTTTTTTTGGTTTTAATTTATTTGCTATGTATTGTTGTTTTTTAGTTATGATTCTATTATTTTGGGGCTTGATGGTTGGTTTTTCGATGGGTTGACATGTGGAATCATTTTGAGATCGGACGGTTGTAAAGATTGTGCTGCTGTATATCTTTATCACTGGGTTAATTCAGTTTATTTTTCTTATCTACATTTAGAAGTTGCAATTTCTCATTGTTATATCCTATAATTACTTTTAATTTTATTTTTTAAAAGTTTACTTTATATTAATATTCATTTGTGCTTTAGTCTACTACAATACAATATAAATTCTAGAAAAGTGGGCAATTTTCAAGAATTTAATCTAAATCCGACAATGATTTGTGAAGAAGAAAAAACGAGTTCCCCACTTGTTTGATAGCCATTGAAGGTATCCTTAAAGGCTAAGGCATAAAGTTCTTTAAACTCTGAATTAAAAAAGAAAGTATTTTTAGAGGTAACAAATTCAAGAATTAATAATTGTAAGGGTGATAACGTTTATTGTCAAATAAATAAAATTATTTATAATATATATTATTTTCTAATTATCTTAACTTAATGAAAAATAGAAAAAAAAATAAGTTTGACATTTTAACATGAACTCTAGTGACATCTGTAGTAAAAGAATTGTTATTATTTTTTGAGATACCGAGTTCGAGTACCAAGAATGCCAGAAGTACGAACGTTTAATATCAAAAAGTTAAATAATTATCTTTGCATAGATACTACTTTGTATTTACTATAGATAAATAAAAAAATAAGTTTTACATTTTAGTAAAATTATAAATAAATTATTATTATAAAAATTTATGTAAATACAAAAAAATGTTTTTTAATAGCATAAATATAAAATATTTTAAATATATTTATTGTCATTTTCGGAAATTATAGTATTAAACAGGTTTTTCTTTATTTTTGGTCTTTTTACTGGAAATTAATCTATTAAGAAATAGACTTTCTTTTTTGTGAATAACAGAACATTAAATATCAGCATATCACAATTATTAAAACAAATATTTTTTTATCACGCATTATAATATAATAAATAAAGAAACTAAGACAAATGAGCTGTAAGGTTGGCTTATAATAAAAAGAATATGAAACAGCTATATTGGGATCTTTTAATATATATTTTCAAGATTATAAATCAGCTTCCTTCAGTCGTTAAAAGAATTGTTATTGTTTCTATAAGTTATAAGTTTGAGCACTAGCGATTGTAAGGATGATTGGACATTCATTGTCAAATAGTTGAGAGTATTTTTATATTGTGGATTATATAAAAATATTTTTAATCGTTGAATAATATCATTTTATAGCTTATAGTATATATCTACTTTTATTTTAAATAGTGTTTTTAATATATATTTAATTTTTTTAGTATTTTTATATTTTAAATTTAAAATAATTTTTTATATAGAATTAAATAAGCTATTTATCTTTAAAAAATTAATTTAGTCATCGAAGGCCAAAAAATAAAGTTAGTCCATTTATCATTTCTTTTGTTATTGTGGATCGTAATGTCAGATCAAATCATATGTGTCAAAGATGTAAAATTTTGATCAAATCGTGAACTACATTAATTTTTTAAAAGTAAATTGTATTTTTACATAAATATTAAAACTTAAAAAATTTAAAAATAGTCGAAAGGAAACCCTATCTTTTGTTGCAGCTTTACTGCTTTACAAGGGGAGGGAAAGGGGTTATAACATATCTAAATCCTAGTCATTGAGGTGTCAACAAAGAGCTTAACAAATGATCCCTTATAATGTAGGCAAAAAACCCTGTCTTTTAGTTCCAATTTCAGCCTTTCTTTTTTACTTTTGAGACATTCACACTACTCCAAGTTGTTCCTTTCTTTTGGGGGTCTCAATCAACAATAGTTGAACTTTTTTACTTCTCAGTCACAAATTAATTGACAAGTATTCTTCCTTGTATTTTTATCTGTAAATCTTCTAAAGTTGGAAATCTTCTCTCTTTTAGGAGTTTGTAGTAGATTTTTTAATAATATTTCATTTTTTACCCGTAAATCTTCTACACTCGTATTTTTGTCAAGTTTTAGTTTCAAATTTGTATTTATGTTTGGAGATATATTTTTATATTTATGTATGACATTATTTCCTAAGTGTGATTACCTGAATGAGCCTTTGCATTACGTGAAAATAAAATTGTGTTCTTTTGAAAGTTAATTAAAAAATAGTTATAAATTACAAAATATTTATTCGAAGTTCATCTTTTAGGTAAAAAGTCTAGGAATCGAGGACCGGTAAAGGCAATCATCTCCCACTGAATTTAATTTTCAGATTGCTTGTAATTGGACTTCCTTATCCACAACCACAATTAAGTAAACCCAAGTTCTACTCTAATTACAAATTTAATATACCGTAACCGAATTCTTAAAGACAACTAAACCGGAGAGTGCGACGAGGAATCTTCTTTGTCAACTTGCTCCACTTTCAAGTTGAGACAATTTAGTTTCTCTTTAACGGCCGTTAACCCTCGCCATGAATTAGACCCATCTCCTCCGTCGCCGCCACCTTTTGGAGACTTAATCGGACGCATCTTCGAAACAAACGGCGGAGTTACTGAAAACACCCAGCGGTCTGTGATACTTTTCACCCTACTACTTCCTTCCCCATTCTTCGAACTACATTCCATTCCCAATACGACGTCGTAACTCCTCGTACGCTTCAACCTTCCGCTTTTCGCAATTTGCTTCCTGATTTCCTCTGGCAACCTTAACGTGAACCTTTCCGTGTTCTCACCAGCTTGAATCAGTGAGTGACCCGTCGAGTTAGAACGTGGAAACTTACCCGTTATTTTAGGCCTGATTTCATTGATTTGAATGACCAACTCATTTTCTTCTTCAGCTCGTGGTGTTGTCGGAGGACTCGAGTTGCTGTTGCTGTTATTGTTCGAGTTCAACTCAGTGATATTGGAGCATGACTCGACTGGTTCGGCGTTGGTATCGGAATCGGGAGTGAGTTTAGCTCTACAAACCGGACAGGTCACGTGATAAGCCAACCAAGCATCGATACAATCAGGATGAAACACGTGACAACATTTCGGAATTAAACGCAGAATTTCCTCGTCTTGGAACTCACTCAAACAAACCGCGCATTCCAGCGCCGCTTTCCCAAGTTGAAGGTCTTTCACATAAGAATATACAAAAATGGGGAAACTCTCGATCACCTCCGGATCCAGACCTTTCGGCCGGAACATTTGAGAAGAGGAAGCTGCAGCGGCGGCGGACGCGATGGCCATAGCCTGAGCTTCGTTACAATGACGGATGTAAACGGAGAGGAAGCCGAGCAAGAAGAAAACGCCGACGAGGACCATAACAACTATGACCATGGAGGGATCGAAATGATTGTAAAGACCGTAGGGGTCAGCCCTTGGTGGAGCTGTAGGCGTAGGCTGCCCCGTCACAACGACGACGGTCAGTATGTAGAAAAAAACCCAACGGCAGAGATTGAACATGAGGAGCAGAAGAATCGAGATTTTGGAAATAGAAACGGCGAGTGAGTTGAAGTTGAAACACTTTAGAACTGAAATATCGGGGGTGGGGGCGAAAGTTAATAAAGGAAGCATAAAAATATAAAGCGGGGAAAAGATACTTATCCAGATATTGCCGTGGGCGAGAAGTAAAAATACTGCCGAATGCTTTAATATCAATCCCTAAACTTAAACGTGCTTTTCTTATTTAAAAAATATATATTGCTTCTAAATTAATATCTAAATTCATTTTTAATTTTTAATATTTTATTAACTATATTAAATTAAAATTATATTATGTATATTTTTTAAAAAAATCTTTAAATATTATAAATATAATTTAAAAATTTTAAAAATAAAAAATAAATAAAATTTAAGAAATTCTCATATAACTAATCAATATTGTTTGTTTTAAGCAAAAATAACGGTTTAGAAAAGATTAAAAAAATGAAGGATGAAAAGGACCATACAATTTATTCCATTGTTCTCTTTTGTTTTGTGGGTTGTAAAAGGAAAGAACACGCAAGACATTGGTCTGATCCATTGTTTCTAAGAAGCAAATTGCACTTGTCTTTTTTGGCTTCTCTTCAAATAAATTGACAATAGAATTTGTTCCAAATCGTGATGATTATAATCGAATGTCGTTCTCTAAAAATAAAATAAAGAGTCATATTGGGGTTTTATGAGGTCTATAAAAACCTTAATACACTCCTACTTTGCACCAGTATGTCGCCGCCGCTGTTTCTCATTCCTAAAAAATCATTAATTTATGGATCATGTAAACTTTAGTTTTTCTTTTCTTTAAATAAATAATTAAAGTAGTTAAAGATTCTTTGATTCTTTTCATTTAAGGGTAAACTTTATTAATAGTCACTAATATTTGGATAAATTACTTTCTCATCACTAAATTTTATAAAAAAAATATGTTATAATCATAAATATCATCGATTTATAAATGAATCCTCATTAAGAAACTCACCCTAACACTCAATAAAGCTTATAATATGCACCCAATGAGACTGTTGCAACAACCTTATAACAAAATCAGTTGCAATAAGGCATGAAACTATAAAAGTTTTAGCACTAAAATGCGTTCTAAAGCTTCCTTACCACCAAAACTTCATACTTTAACCAAAGTTTTACTTACAATCTAATTGAACTCGACATCTTATAAATACCTCAATCAAGGCCAATTGTTGCTGCCAATAACAAATATTTGCTTCACTTTCCTTGCTATTTGTTTCAACTGCAATAAAATAATGAAACAATAGTTTTTTTATTGCTAAAAATCTCACAACAAACTTTCATTGAGGTCTCAGGTTCGAACACTACGTAGGTAAGAGTATGAATGTTCATAGTCAAAAGGTTGAAAGTCTTTGAACATATATTATCTTGTATTCACCTCATATTTATATATATAATTTCTCACAACAAGCTTATCCTATTTAGGTACACTGTTAAGTTTTTAATGATGAGGTACAAAAATGAAACATAAACTAAACATTAGATATGATTTAAAAAAAATAAAGTTTGAATACCAAAACATAGCAAAAGTAATAATTTAGGTACTAAATGTGTAGTTTATCCTATTTATTAACACATATTTCAAACAATAACCATATTGTCATACCAAAAACATCATTAAAATTAAAGTTTGCAACTCCTAATACCTCTTTTGCTACTTGACAAGCAACATCTTACAACCAAGTCAAATGATATACTTTAGGAGATATGGACCTTGTAATGATATATGAACAAATTTATTTATAATCTATAAAAGGTGCATGCACTCAACAATCTTGATTTCAGATTAAGAGTTTTTTAGTATTTTATCGATAGAGAATGGAAGTCTCAATTTACGAAGGCTTTTCATCACCCCAGGAAAGAAATCATGAAAAAGTAGACTTTTATAATAATAAATGAAAATTGAACTGTATTCGATTTCTTTAGCAAATGGCCATTTTTTTCAACATTTTAAAAAAGTTTGATTTAATAAAATATTAATAAATTTGAGCAATTGAAATTATTTTATATTTTTAATATTTAATATATTAATCTTTTATAAATTTATGATGTGAAAAAATGATAAAATTGTAAAATATTTAATTATTAAAATAATATAAAATATTAAAAAAATAATATATTCATCCACTCGATATAATAATATTATTATTTTTCATATTATATTATATATTTTATATAAATAAATATAATACTTATGAAAATGATTTAAAACTATAAATTTAATATACTAATTATATTAATTATATGCTAAATCTTTTATAAGGATATAATTTTTAGGTCCAATTCAAAAGAATCAAAACCCCGACCATACTTGATTCATGACCATCACTACCAACAACTACGAAACTCAACTTCTAAAAACATATTGAAAATATTTTTGATTTGGATTAATATAAAAAATAGTAATCAAACTTTTGCCACAGTCGAAACCCCAATGTTGTGGACTAGCCAAAATCCCATTGCCGCCGACGTGGTTTATGAATCCCAGCTTTTGCCACTACTTTTGCCACAGTCGAAACCCATCACAGCAAGCATGGACGGGGGATTTAAATCTCATCTTTTGGAATTACTTGGACGGGATTCCACCAACGCATGACCAAACCCCAAAACTGAAGAAAACTTTTAATTTCAAACCCCCTCCCATCTCCAACAGCCGCCGCTGCACTTATCCTCTTCACCATTCCCGGTCTTGGCAGGTGGTGCTATATTGAAAATTCAAAAATAGAGCGACTGAATCGAAACCGTAGAAGGTGAAATCCGAGATGGTTGAAGCTGTTAGTGCTAGCTTCCTTGGAAAGTTCTTTAAATCCCTTCTAAATATGTTGTAAGCGTAAAGTTACTTAGTACTAGCTTCCTAACGATAAAATTTTTAAAATTACCGTAATATAACACGTGTAAATTAACGGATTTTTTTAACAATCGTTATACTTAAAATAGTAATATTTATAACGTTAGATACTTAAAATTAGGTGTCCAAATGAGGAATATGATATAGTTTGAACATCTTTTCTAATAAGCCTTTTAATTTTAATGTTTTCAAATTTATTTTTGTCTAAAAATTATTTATTTAGTAATATAATTTTTTATCATTTGTGTAAATAGATCAAATTGAACTACATTAAATTTTATCTTCTATGTGTATTTCATTTCTTATTAATTTTGCTTTGATTAGTTTTTTATTATAAATTCATAACAAAATTATATATGAAATTTTATTGAATAAATAATTTACATTGAAATTTATTGAATAAAAAACTTTAGTTGGAATGAAAAATGATTCGTATTTTTTTTTATTTTATAGTTAATTTTGAAGTAATAACATTAAATTTTGTTTTATACAATATTATATTGAAACGAAGAAGAAAAACCCATTAAAATGAGTGTATTATACCTAAATCAATCATAGTTACAGATAGATAGCATAGCGATCCGGATACACGTGAAACTATCCAATATGATTTTAGCCAATTACTATCTATAACTCTGATTTAACAAGGGAAGGATCGAACCTTGGGTTCTATTTCGTTTGGATAACAAGAATATTCCTCCTGATTAGAAACATCTTTTCATTGAAACAACCCCCCTTCGATAAACATCGCCCGCTCCATCACTTTGCATCTGCTTCAACGTTGCACACCAATCTTTCCCTTCCAATACTTTTAACTGCTCCAATTCAGTGTCTAAACTACTACTATGTTTATGCCCTGCACTTGCTTCACCAATTATTTCCATTGGAACAAGTTAAATCCTACGAAACTAACCTCCTCGTGGCTTCAATTCCATCTAAATCGCTCAACACATTTCCATCAGAATGGCCCAGATTTTTTCTAGAATTTTCCGACGTGTTTCCATCTTCAATCCGACAAGTTCTCAGTTCTTCACCGGCTCCACCTTCTCCGTCATCGTTTTCGACCATTCTGTCGTTGCTTGAACCTGAACTGATGGAATTCGGTTCCGATGCACTGGTTTGAGCTACCATGGCATGGGAAACAACGGGTGCACGATACAATGGGCAGTTTTGGTGTGACCTTAACCGAGTATCAATACAAGGAAGGTGAAAACCATGGGTACAATTTGGCAAAAGCCTAAGGCTTTCATCTTCTTGGAAGTCATTCAAGCAAATGGAACATTCGGTTCCTTCAATCAGTCGTTCATCTTTTTTATACTTGAAAACCATGATGGAATCGATGACCGATTGTTGGAGACCGATGGTGTTGATGTACCATATGGGAAAACTTCTCCTCGAATGATTAATCCTCTTGTTAAAATAGAATCTAACAAGTGCAAAGAAAATACATAGAATAAGAGCATAACATAGCATGCTTCCCTTGATTGTCATGCCAGTAACCAACAAGCTGTGATCATCATGGTTCTGTCTAGGAGGTAGTGCCTGCAATGGCGGTGGTGGCGGCCGAAGCCATGGCGACGGTATATAGTTACCTCTACAGTTTCTTATACAGCGATCACGGTTTGGACACTTACACGGTCTTGATTTAGGTCGGCCCTCATCTAACAATGTGAAAAACAAAGAAGGAAACAGAGGGAAAACAAAAGATTAAAATGGAATTGATGGGATGGGACAAGTGTTATCCTTGAATGATTATCTATCCCTTCTACATGAATGGTGTAAGCATGAAGTTTGGGTTATGTATTTATCACAAATTTCATGTGAAGTCGAGAGATTGGAGACATTTCGTTTTCCATTAACTAATTTTGGGTGTATGCATTTACTGGGTAGTTTCGTTTTGTCCATGTTCGTAGACTCTTCGTAGTCAAGCACGCGTAAATGTTAGTAGTGAAGGGTTCAACATGCCCCATCCCATCAAATTTCAGTGCGTTGATTGCTACCTTTGCCATTTATTCAAACCCTACTTTGAAGATTTTAGTGAAACTTTTACTTTTTATTTTTTAACAATCATACCTTAATTTTATTAATAAAAATAATAAAAGGAATTAAAATTACAACACATCCAATTAGGACAATAATAAAAGAACTCATACATAAAATAAAAATGTTAAATCCCATGATACGAAGAAAAAACGAAACGTTCTATTGAGAATGACGTCCAACATCAAAATAACTCAGTAACCTTTATAAAACTCATTGTCTTTGTTGAACGATAAGTTTTACGAAGTGATAAAAGAGTGATGATTAAACCAAACAATTTGGCAACCTGTTTCGCTACACAATTCTAATTATATCAACAAACAACATTTTATCAAAGAGGGGTTCTGACAATACATGACCATCGATAAATCAATCAGAAAACAAATATTGTGAGGATTTTTGCACAAACACCAACACGACTACAGAGGTATACGAAAAACGTATAAAACCCATAAAGAACATGTCACGAAAGCATAGAAAAAACGTATCATAAGAACAGAGGAAAATGTGTCACGAGAACATAAATTTTCAGTTTAAATTGAAAAAATTCAAGAAAAATAAAGGACATAAAATGAAAAAGAACAAAAAATAATAATCATCAACGATTGACAACCAATATTAAAATTGATATCACCATTAATTAAATAAAAAGAAATATCAGGAGAAGACTTAACTTAAAGAAAAAGAAAGAAATCCTAGTAAACACTTTTACCATCTTAAAATTGAGCGAATTGGAAAGGAGATAAATACAATCAACATGATTACGACATAAAAAAATACAAATATAACACAATAATTACAGAAATTGGCCGGGGGGGGGGGGGGAAGACCAAAATATAATTGATCGTTTATTATTTATTGTCCGTGTTGTTTAGTACTTGGGCCTAGGCTTTAGTTTATGTTTACTGCCAACTGATTTTGTCTTATGGGTTGTGGACTTAGGTTGGGTATTAATATATAATTTTATTACAATATAAATATATGGTTATTTAATATATTATATTAGTTAACATGAATCAAACAATCTTGATGGTTAAATAGATAATCGTTATCTTTAGAGGTTTTTGGTTTAAGTACATTGTTTGCAGAAGTGTTTAAACATTCATTATCAAATATATTGAGAATCTTTCGAACATATAGTAACGTATAATCACCCCAAACTAGTTATATATTCCCTACATTTAGGCTGACATGAGTTTTCTTGATTGCTACCCTTCATATTATAGTTGTGCATGGGTTGGTTGGGTAACCTACTTGGGACTAGTCTTAGATAATTATATTTTAAACTAAAATCTATTTGATCAAGATTTAAATTAAATACTCAGATGTATATATATTTAGATTTTGAATATTAAAATGAATATTTTAACTCTTAAAACAACATTTCAATCAGGTAATTAGATAAATCAATATAATTTGAACTTGGATGATATATATTCGCTTTTAAAGAAACTTGAGTACTAAACTATCCGCATGCGCTGTGCTTGAATGATGATACTTGTGTGTCTTTGTTGATAGGAAAAATCATAGGGACCTTTCTCATAACCCCCAACAGCACATCATGACAGCAAGTCTTGATTGATGAACGATTCTTGTTTCGTTTCGTGATGAATTTATATGATAATTTGAAGAAAAAAATGGTAGGAAATAATATGTCACATCAATATATATTACTTTGATATAATAATTTTAGCCTGTTAATGAAAAAAGTTAATAGTCCAAAACTCCAAACATAGGCAGATGCCTAGACATTTGAAACGTGTTTAAAAGAAAAAGAGTTAGCTGTTCATGACTGCTATTTTTCTGCTTTATTTCCTAACATTTTTCATTTAGGAGACGAAAGGAAAAGAGAAACAAAGACTTTAACAATGATTCTGCTTCCGCCTGCCTTTTCAACAATCCATAAACTAGTCTATAAAATAAAGAAAAGCTGCCCAGGAGTCTATTCTCTTAAAGCACCAAATTTTACTAACACCAACAAATTATATAAATTTTAAATTATTAACATATTAAAATTAATGTAAAATATTTTAATTTAATTGGAACACAATAAAATATATAAATGCAACAATTCTGCAAGTCCCCTTTCTTCATGTTAGATTTCTTACATACAGTTGTTCAATGTTTTTAAAACAAGAGTTTGATTCATGTTATTTAAGTTTATAAGGTATAATCTTGATTATAATGTAAGACTATAATATTTGATTTATAAATATTACGAGCATATACTAATCTAAGACTATGAGTTATAATTTCATAACACAATGTTTCATTTGTAATTTAATTTGTAATTTAAGATTATAGGTTTAATCTTATATTTATGTCCAATTTACATTTTATTTTTTTAAAAAATAAATAAAATCTAATTAAAAAAAATAAGAATCTCCCTAATTATTTTTACTCAAACAATTTATTTATTTATTACGATTATAAATTTTTATTTATATTTTATATAAAAATATAATAAAATATTCTATTACTTAGCGTAAAATTTAATAAAAGAAATATCTTGATAGATATAATCAAACCAAAGAGTATTTATGTTATTTGAATTAAATTTGATATTGTATAAAAATATTATGAATATTTATATATATATATATAGATTTAAATAATTTTATGTTTGGGTCTAAAATAATAAAGAGTGAAATTATGAATTTTAAAATTTTCCGTCACTTTTCAAACGTCATTGGAATGGGAATGGGAATGGGAATGGGAATGGGAATGGGAATGGGAATGGGAATGTTTTTAAGATGGCAGGGATTATTAGTATTAATATTTTACAATGATTTTTAAAATTTTAAGATAAGATAATTTATAAAATTCGATGAAAGTAAATTATCAATAAAAAATATAAATAAATTAAGATATATGATAATTAAAAAGAATTTATAGAAGATAATTGTTCATGACCGCCTCTAGATCTATCCTTGTGTTGTCATTATTGAATGTCTCGGGAAAATTGTCATACTTTTAGAAGACATTTGATTAACAGAAAAGATGATTATTTTTGGAATGAAATTATTTGAATATAACATTATTTTGAGAATGTTATATTACCTTGTTTAATTTGTTTAACATTAATGTAAGATTAGTATTTAGTTGGAGGAATATAATATTACTTAAAGACATATTTTAACAAATTATCCTTGTGATATATGTTCTTTTTAAAAAGTTAAACTTTAATATTAAACTATAAATAATTGAATGAAAATTCATAGAAATATTTTAATTATTTTATAAACAAAAATATTTTAATTGTTATACTATATAACTTTTGAGGAAAAATATAATTAACATATAATTAATAAAAGAGAAAATAACTTCAGTGACCAAAAATCTCATATAATATACGATTTTAACCAACTTTTTCCGGATTTGCCAAAATGACCAACAAAATCGCAATGCGATCGCTAATTTGCAACGCGATCTCCATTATCGCAAATCAGTTTCCAGATTCGCAACGCGATTATAACTATCGCAATGCGATTTTCCAATTTCGCGTTGCGATTTTCCCAAATCGCAATGCGAATAAGTAAATCGCAATGCGAATTTGGAAAATCGCAACGTGATACTGACTATCGCAACGCGATACTGACTTTCGCAACGCGATACTTAATTTCGCAACGCAATACTGACTTTCGCAACAAGATAATACATAATCGCAATGCGATTTTCAAAGCGCCATTAGTATCGCAAAGCGTATTTTATTTTCAAATTCCAAACACGAATATTAATATATTGGAACACTGAACCGTCCACAGTATATCCCGTAATCGCAACTCATAACATAAAACCTAAAATCACAACTCAGTCCCATCTCCATCTCTCACTCTCTCACCCATCTCCGACGAAATCCGTCCCCATCTCCGGCGAAATCCGTCTATCTCCATCTCTCAGAGCCACCCTCACAATCAGAAATGGAAAATCAACCAAATCAACCACCGAGGGTTAGTTTTTTTAATTATTTTCTTTTTGAAATTTTTGCATTATTATTAGGTTTTTTATATTGAAATTGATGATAAGTTTACTGGTAATTTCAATAATAGATTAACCATTTCACTTAGATTGCTTATTAAATCAACCGAGAATCGCAACGACAAAATCGCAACGCGATTTTATTCTCTCGTTGCGATAATCAAATTCGCGTTGCGATTGTCATTTTCGTGTTGCGATTTTCATTTTCAGAAACTATTCTTCTTATGCAAATTGAAACTTGAATGAATTGCATTACTTCAACCAAAAAACAAAGACAAATAAGAAATTCACATTGTTGCAAATTTAAGTTTGAAGAATAAACTACTACTCTTTATGTTTATTATTGTTTTTTGTATATCTTCACAGTGTAGTTTTTGGTATATCTAACTTAGTATGTTTATTGTTTTTGTAGAACTTTTATTCGGCTCAATTGACCTTAAGAAATAAAGTCAGCCTGGCCAAAACAATTGCGTCGAAGCTTTCACCTGCACAAAGAAAAATGTTTGAGGATACTTGTTTCGGGCCATGGCTGAAAGTACAACATCCCGGTGGAGATGCGATGTTGACACACCTGTTTCTTCAAACCATGACTAGCGATCTACCAGATACTATACAACGTCGTGATGAAGAGATATGGTTTGATTTTCCACCGACGTATACGTGTTTTGGGCGGGAGAAGTTTTGCTTAATCACCGGTCTACGCTTCGGACACGATGATGTAGGTCGGTACACTAGACACATTACCCGCCCATCATGGTTATTCCGGGTTTTTTCTGAGCTGGAGAGGTCGAATCTACACGTGGAAGACCTGACGAGATTATTGAATAAGAAAGATGGTTTTACTCGGATGGATGACGTCGATGTTGTCCGAGTATGCCTTCTAATACTTTTGCATGCCGACTTTTTAGGCAGAGAGGCCAGACAACCTATTCCGAATGATCTAATCAAATTGGTAGAAGACCTAAATGCGTGGAACCTGTTTCCGTGGGGC